TGCAGAGCAACAGCACAACCAGATATACAGCACAGTATATACCCGGCCCTGCATTTGCCAAAAGGTCTCCGAGAATAAGAGAGAACTATAAGAATACCATACAGTATAACAACAAGAGAAGTGAGAATGTGTTTTATGGCTGAGAGAGAGAGAGAGAGAGAGAGAGAGAGAGAGCCTAAACACCCATTTGGTTCATACTATACAATCTAAATGATAGCCCAGTAGTCAATGTGAGTGCTCGCTAGAGAGATGTGCCATTCAATTGCCAGTCGTCAGTCATTCTCGTGCTCTCTCTCTCTCTCTCTCTCAGACACGCATTTCTAACCATTAATATAAGAGCAGAGAAATAGTGTAACAAAAATTTCTATTAAATAAATACAAGTATTCAATATGTGGAGGAAGTGTAGCACATGTGCACTAATGCTAATATGGATACATATTTGTGCACATAATTCTTGTCAATAGCTAGAAATTAATTTTACATTTTAACCATTATTTGTGGATATTTTGAATGTATATTTTGTAAAAATCTAATAAAAATAGAACAAGGTTTACACGCGATGCTATAGCTTAACCACAATTCTGGTGATGCTCAAAGAATCCCATAAACTTAACATTACCCAAATTTAGCATTGTACATAGAGTTAGCATTAGATTATTGGATTATAAAGGCAGAGAGAGAGAGAGAGAGAGAGAGAGATATTCAGAATAATGTGAGAGAAAAGACAAATAAAATATAAATTTTAATTACAAATAGGATTTAATATAAAGCAAGATAAATAATATTTGCATTAAAACAAGTCTCTCTCTCTCTCTCTCTCTCTCTTAGCCATCGATTAGTTGAAAATGCTTTAAGACTTTATACGGTATAAATTATATAAGTATATGATATATACGTGTAGTTAATGTTTTAAAATACATCATAATTTAAGCCAATAGTATGTCTGCTTATTCTCAGAAATACAAATATTAAAAATATATTTCATTTTTCGTATTAAAAGTCTGTTTTCACTCAAACAAAAAACAACTATATCTGCAAAAAACGCAAATATTTTTCGCCCCAAACATTGTATACGAGATATTTTCGGTTGAAATTACGTGAATACGATTTTTTTGATGGCATACCAGTGCTAACTAAGCTCGTTGTTTGATGTGCTGATCCAACTACTATTATATACACCGACCATATTTTGTATATGAATTGTTTTTTGTGCACTCTATGCAGTATTTATTTCACCCTAGATGTACAGTATATATAAATAGTGTACTATTCAATACAAAATATATATTTGGGTGTACATTATATGGCTGTTCACAATTGCCAACGTGTATAGTATAGTCTCTCTCACTCACTCTCACCATAAAATACACGAGAGCTCAGTCTCTGTGAATGTGAGACATACTGTAGGGCAAGAATATCTACAGCCATACAGAATATACTGTGTATTATACGAGCGCTGGTATCCAAGTGTATACACATATAAATTATGAGCGCATTCTCCCTCTCGCTCTCTCCCTCTCACACCATAACCAGACCTTTGCAATCCATGATATCTAATGGTAAGTGGAAGTTGCACTGGTAGTTTTTCTGGTTAAAATGCGCCTGACACTTCCAATGGATCAGCACAACCATCGACAAGCACTCTCTTTTCCCTATCCATCACTCTATGGCCACCAATGGCTGTCTTTCTCTCCGTATAATATATAGCCTTTTATATGACATGTATTTTATATATTATATATATTTCTTCTTTTCAAGTCTTGATAGCAAAAGAACTCTCTCTCTCTCTCTCTCTCTCCATCATTAATGAAAGAGGAAAAGACAAATCCCATCAGAAATGGCGAACACAAAAGATGTAGAAAACTAATCAACATCAAAAAAGTAATTGCAAAAAAACATGTATACATGTAATCTTATAAACGGAATGAAATGTTTTAAGAGTATAGATTGGATTCATTTCATTTGAAAAGTTTTAAAATTCAAGTAAATATGATTTAACCACAAAAGCTCCAGCAGTTATCGTATGAATATATAATTGTATATAATTTTGTTATTGTTGTCAATTATTATATTGTGTAGTGGGGGTTATTTATGGAGGTTTGAGTCCACCCCCGACTTCTCTCTCCGACTAACACACGTATGCTTTTCTTGGTTTGCATTTCGTTTGAGGCACCGTTTCCTATGATTTATGAATTCATGTGTAGTTTTCGTAAATCTTTATTTAGTTGTTTTTTCTATTTTTTCATTTTATTATTATTATTATAATATTTTTCTTCTTCTCTCACTCTTGACTCTAGAGTCAAAAAATATATAATTTTATTCAACATTTAGTGTTATTTCAATGTGACCTTCAGTGTGAGAGCTCATACACTCGAGAATATTTATAAAAACGATCCGTCTCTTAAAGTTTTGCAGATATGCCTAAGAATTATATGCATTTTCTGTATGCGTTTCGCTCACTATTGCACACAATATGTTAAGTGCTTTACGAGAGAGACCTCTTAGAGATTACGTCAAGAAACATCAAAAACAGTATTCTCTCTCATACTTAACAATAATCACAAGACTCTCTCTCTCTCTCTCTCTCTCTCTCTCTCTCAGAATCTATTATTTATCTGTTGTTTTTCAAGTGAAAAAGGTATTTTTGTTGCCTTAATATATGTGCTTCACGTGTACACTATTGGTGTGTTTTATGCACTAATCTGTCAAATATCTAATATATTATGAATTCCTTTCTCTTCTCTCCCCTAATATACGAGTGTTTAGTATATTATTATACGTTAACTACTTTAGTATAGTTTACCAATCGATAAGTTAGACCTTTTATTTTCGGGCAATTTTGGCAATATTTCTGCTCCATTTGCCGCTCACAACATATACTCAAAGCCCACAGCCTTTCCCTTTCCAATGCCCACTACTTATTGGCTATTATTTTCATCGCTTTCATCAATTTTTCGCTATTAATTTGCCATTTATATCGACGACTAGTATTAATATCTAATATATATTTTCGGTTTCTATAGGTATGCGGTGTTGGAAACAAAACACCGGATTATATACGATATATGAATACAATTTTTGGTACATTTCAATGGAGGGACAGGAGTTATGTCATTCAATAGTATACTCAATGGCAGTGTGTGTGTAAATGCCTAAACTTATGGTGAAATAACATATTTTGTTGGCGTGAATATGATATTTTTGCAATAAGGAGTTCAACGATATAGCATTGAGAATAGACCGACAATATATTATAAGTAATATTATATGTTATATACAATATATTTATTAATTTAAATATCAATATCAAACTCCCGGTGCTATCGTGTGGTGTGTGTTGTTGTGTTGGATTTATAAATTGAAATTTGCTCTCTTTTTTAATAAAAATATTTCACATTATCTCTCATAAAATATATATAATATGATAAGTAATGTGCGATATCTAAGAGACATAGAGTCGTATGATTAGCTGAATATACATAATATAAGTATTGATTTTTCGACAAGACTTTAGGTTTTAACTAAAAATGATATTTTCATTGCAAAACTGAAATGTAATTTTTGTCGTCTCTATCTATCCCTAGCTATATATGTATGGCATGTATAGTATGGCTGACGTGTCTCTCGAATATGCCATTCCCTCCCATTCCCATAGTTATACACTACTGAATGGCATAAAGTATATAATTATAATGTATTTTCTAATTGTTTGCAACAATTTTAGTATATTATTGTTTTACTGGAAATAGTTTTTTCTCAGCTTATTTTTTGTTGGCAGCAATCTATCGATTAGAGTCCTTATAAAATATGTGCTCAAAAAATCAGTTTAATATTATTTTATTAATATTTGTATAATATATATATTTTCGCCTTATTTTTGTTTGTATTGTATTTTCATTTTTGTTGAAAATATTTTCTATACTTCGTGTTATGAAAAGCCCTGAAATACTTATTATATATATGTTATAATTTTGACGCCAAATACACACCCAAACCCTATCATTGAAATGAAATCACTGATTCTCTCTCTCTCTCTCTCTCTCTCTGAACAAAATTACGTTTATAATAAATAGAACGAAATATAATTTAGGATAAACATTAATTTTAAATATAAAATAAACAGAAAAGAGAGTGTAATAAGACTTAATAGTGTACATAAGTATTGAAAATATATTTAATTGAAAATAAAAAGTAAATCGAAATATAAGTTGTTTTTTGTTCATATTTTTCTATCTACTGTATGTGTCTTTCGGATGGAAATTAATGTTTGGGAAATATTTCTCATAAAATTTATTATTTTTCATTAATATACTGTAATTATTAGCCATTTCTCCAGTAATTTATTACATTATTAATGGCTTTAAAATATGAAATCTATTTTTATGATAGGCTTTCATAGCGATTATTTGTGGCAAACATTTTTCGTAACCAATACATATACACACATAATATAATGGATATATATTATATTAATTAGATAAAAACCGATTATATTTTTAAGACCGATAAAAATGGTATTTAAAAGTTTGCTGTACAGAAATTGTGAGTTAATTTACGTGGGTTTTATACTTAGGTTATTTATATATTTACCAAAGATGTCTGAGACTTCAGTAAACTCTAATATAAACCATATTTTGTGTATATTTCGTGAGTTTATCTGTCGTTTCTGAGGCTAAAAATTGATCTCTTCGTTGAGATGTCATGTCATGTATTATAAGAGGATATTTTCTGCCTTCATATTTAGTCGTCGTGTTGTGCCATAGATTTTAAATTGGATTTCAGTTATGGTTTTAAAGATGGGATTAAATACATACATGTTTTGGCACAAAAACAAGAAATTACATTTCTTTTGCTTTTAAATAACATTATATTTGTTGAAAAATATTTCGCTCTTTCTTTCATTTTCATTCTCTCTCTCTCTCTCTCTCTCTCTCTCTCCGATCAGAGTTACCAGAATCGGGTGACAACTGTATGGATACCTCTATTTGGTTCATACTGTATGACTGCTTTAAGCCAATCACAGCCCATATTGAGAGCAAAGGGTGTGTAATGTTATGACAAGTGTTTCAATCAGTGATGAAATGCTTTGTTTTGTAAACCATTTGTTTGATTGTTATCTCGTCTTTGATTACCGTTTAATTGATTGGATTTATTAGTTATGAATATCAATGAACTCAACGACGACTGTCTGAAGATTGTCTTCTCATTCATACCATTCGGGGAACTGTTGGCCGACCGCCGGGTCTGTAAGGACTGGAAACAAGTGATCGGTAAGTATTTGTCTCTCAATGTTTTTGATTATATCTAACCATTGATCGCATTCATCGGTTCCAACAGATGATTATCTGTCAAACATTACACACTTTACGTACAATCAGTCCATCAATGGTAACAATAAGGACAACGAACTGACGCTGGCATCGGATTTGGATAGCGGTTAGTCTCTGTCTCTCATGTCTAGTAATATCTCTAACCATTGATCGCAATCATCGGTTCCAACAGATGATAATCTATCAAATGTGACACATTTTTCGTATAACCTCAATGGTAATGACGGCATAACTGACGTGAATTTACCCCGATTTGGACGTTGCCTTCAATTGATGCCCAAATTGACATCACTTTCAATCACAGGTCTGTAACCGACGGTCATTTGGTCACCAATTCTCACAACCCTTTGATCGCACACTTGATCCACACATTTATGCTTTATATTTATGTCCGTACCTTCTTATCCATTCATATCTTCAGGTGTCCAACCGTTTGATCCAATGATTAAGATTCTTGTGGCCAAATGTCCGCACATAACACGTCTATACATGAAATGTGTGAACGAAGAAGTGTCGGTCAGTGCAAAGTGTATCGAGCAGTTGGTGGCCGCGTATCCGGCGCTCACACACCTGGATGTGCCCAACTGTGATGTGGACGACTCTGTGATCAAGATTGTGGCCACACGTCTGCCCCGTTTGGTCCGCTTTAACTTCGGCACCGATTGGGAACTCAATGAATATTACCGATTAGGTTATGGCTTTACCGGTCAAACACTGCGCTATATATCGGCCACAACTAAGACACTAATGATCGGCGATAGCGAAAGCAATGACCAGATGGTGATCGAGTCACTGATGGCCGGACCCGCGCGACAGCACATCCTCGTTCTGAAGATCCATTTGAACGAATTGAAGTACTTGTCCACGATTTGTGATAATATGCCACAACTGCGAGAGTTTTACTGCAGTTTCAATGGCGGAGATATCAGACCCAGTGGTGGTGTCGATAACGTCGGCTGCGTTCGCCATCTGCAGAGTTTGACGAGTCTGGAAGCGCTGGAACTGTCAGACGAGTGCCGCACTCACTGTTCCTATCCGTGTCACAGTCTCTACACATTGCGATCCCTAACCGATGCCATCAGTGGTCTGTCGCGGCTGAAAGTGTTGCGACTCTTGGATCACAACAATTGGCACCGCAAGAGAGAGTCAATTGATCCACTTCTGGCACAACTCAACACATATTGTCCCGATTTGACCGAATTGGGTATAAGCGCCGGTCTGTTCGACTTGAAAGCCAAGAGTTACCGATTGATTGGTGAATTGAATCTACCGGTGCTCACCATTCAGGACGACCGCTACCCGTATGGCGATTACGAAGACAGTGTTAGACATAACGTGTCTAACGATGATGTGGTGGATCTCCTGAAGGCGACCACAAGTATGCGTCGATTTCGCGTTGAGAACTGTTCGGTGGTCGACAACGAGGCGGTGAAGGCGTGTCTGGAAGTGTTGGCCACTAGAAGTCGTCGAAGAATTGAATTGATTTTTACTAATATTAGTAATATTAGTGAAGAGATGAGGAATGAGTTTACGGTTCCCCCGAATGTGTCGCTTGTTTTCATGTAAAGTGTGGCCAAAGGTGTCGATAATCACACCGTTTAGTCACTAATTTTATTGATTATTAATAATAATTTATTATATGTTTGTTATGATAATTGTTTGCATTTGTAATACATTTGATTTAAACGGAAATAATGTTTCTTAAGTCTATTTTTCATTAAAGCCTTTTAATTTAATTATGAAATTATTATTTTAAAAATTGGTTTATTCTTCTCTCTCTCTCTCTCTCTCTCTCTCTCTCTCTCTCTGCTTTAAGCCAATCACAGCCCATATTGTGAGCAAAGGGTGTGTAATGTTATGACAAGTGTTTCAATCAGTGATGAAATGCTTTGTTTTTGTGAACCATTTGTTTGATTGTTATCTCGTCTTTGATTAGCGTTTAATTGATTGGATTTATTAGTTATGAATATCAATGAACTCAACGACGACTGTCTGAAGACTGTCTTCTCATTCATACCATTCGGGGAACTGTTGGCCGACCGCCGGGTCTGTAAGGACTGGAAACAAGTGATCGGTTAGTATTTGTCTCTCATATTATTGATAACGAGTCTAACCATCGGATCCAACAGATGATTATCTGTCAGACATTACACACTTTACGTACAATGAGTCCATCAATGGTAACGATGACTACAATGACACCGATTCCAGTGATGGTGAAGAAGTAGAAGCGATAGTGAATTTACCCCGATTTGGACGTTGTCTCCAATTGATGCCCAAATTGACATCACTTTCAGTCACAGGTCTGTAACCGTCGGCTATTTGTTGGCCAACTATTGGTCACCAAATGTGCCGATCCTTTGAACATATAATCATATCATTTATCGCATTTAAAACTTCATTCACTTTTAATAAATCACTTTTATTCACATTTATGTTGTATTTATCTGTATTTTAATCTGACATCTGATTCATACATGTCTTCAGGCGTTCAGCCGACCGATGCGATGGTTGAGGTTCTTGTGTCCAAATGCGCGCACATAACGCGTCTCAATTTGAAGGCTGTGTCGGCCTATAAATGCATTACATATGAAGGTATTGACCGATTGGTGACCGCATATCCATCGCTGACACACTTGGATCTGACCAACTGTCCGATGACTGACCGCACCGTCGAGTGTGTGGCCACACGTCTGTCCCAATTGGTCCGTTTTAACTTCGGCACTGATCGCCAACACTATCCCGACCTTCGACTCGACGCCAACTTTACGGGACAAACACTGAGCCATATATCGGCCAAAACTAAGACACTGGTGATCGGCGAGAGTGCGGACGAACACCACCAGCAGATCCAGTCGCTGATGGCCGGTCCGGCCCGACAGCACGTACTGGTGCTTAAGATCCACTTGAATGAGTTGAAACACTTGTCCACCATTTGTGACCAAATGCCACAACTCCGGGAGTTTTATTGCAGTTTCAATGGCGGAGATATCAACAATGGTGTCAATAATATCGGTTCCGTTCGACACATACAACGGCTGCGGAATCTGGAAGCGCTGGAACTGGTGGACGACTGTCGCATTGGTTGCAGCGACTGTCACAGTCTCTACACATTGGAATCGCTAACCGTTGCCATCAGTGGTCTGTCGCGGCTGAAAGTGTTGCGACTCTTGGACTATAAGGGCTGGCACTTACACAAGGAGTCTATTGATCCACTTTTGGCACAATTGAAGACATATTGTCCACATTTAGTTGAATTAGGCCTCAGCTCCGGTCTCCTTGACTTGAGAGCCCAGAGTTACCGATTGATCGGTAAACTCAATCTACCGGTGCTCACCATTCAGGACGACCGGTGCCGGAGCCTACAGTACTGGCGAAAAACCACTGAAACCCTATACCTAACCAATGATGATGTGGTGGATCTACTGAAGGCGACCACTAATATGCGTCGCTTTCGCGTTGAGAACTCTCCGCTGATAGACAGGGAGGCAGTGAAGGCGTGTCTGGAAGTGTTGGCCACAAGAAGTCGCCGACGAATTGAATTGATTTTTGTAAAGATTAAGAATATTACACCAGAAATGTCTGAGTTTACAGTTCCCCCGAATGTGTCGCTTGTTTTCATTTAAACGGATAACGATTTTCATAATTAATTAAACAGTTATTGTTTATTATATTTGTATTTTGTTATAATTGTTAAGATATTTATTTATATGAAATCTATTTCTAAGTTATATTAAATGTTTTAAATCTAATTGTTTTGTTATGATATGAATGATTGGTTGGGAAACTTGTGTCCAGCGATGGAGACATAACTGATGCCATTTCCAGTAAAATTAGTTAAAAATGCAATGATTTGATCAAAAATGTAGACACTTTTGGATCAATACTAAAGATATTATTTATAAATTTTATTTAATATGAAAATTGTTTTACATTTTAAAAACTTTTAAATAATAAGAGAAATGAATGAGTTTTACGAAAACACAGATAATAATAAACAATATGAAAACTAATCATTAAATCACTGAATAAAGTATAAAATAAAGTATAAAATAAAGTATAAAATCACAAATAAAGTGAATTAATGGTTCAATTTTAAGATAAAATTCTTGGGAATCGTGACATTCATGGAATCCAAACGCATTAAAACTGATTGCATGTGAAAGAGAGACGAATCCAATCCGAGTCTTACAAACTTCTTGGCCGACATATTATCCAAACAATCGGCGACAAAACGTGCCATTTCTTTGGCGGTCACATCGGTTCCAATAGGGATCGCATTGAGTCGACCGAAGAGCTCCACATCATTGGATTCAAAGCTACTGTTGCGGTCTTTGAAGACCATTCGCTTCAATTGTGGCAATTGTGACAATGAATGCATACCTTTGCGCACACATTGGCCACAATCGGTGTTAGAGCCGAACCCGAAAAGTTCTTCGCCGTCTTCACTGCACTCGCATTTAATGCAAAAACGAGTCAATACTAAACGTCTAACCGATGGTAATATTTGGTTCAATTTAGTCATCATTGTTGGCACACATTTCGCGGGATGTAAAGCCAAACTCTTGAGCGATGGCATCGATCGCATGGCATTTGTGTTCAAACAGACGCCACTCCAAGTACTGATCGACAAATGTCTCAATTGTGACAGTTTTGGGATGTTTTCGATGAACACATCCGTCGACAACTCATGACATTCCCAATCAAGACGTTTGAGCGCAAAATGAGTGCAAATGTCGGCAAACGATTGATCCAACTCTTCGTCATCACTCAGAAACGATACGTACAGCTCTTCCAGAAGTGGACATCTCTTCTTCAGGATATCAACCGATATGTGGTCTTCAGACACAAGTCTTAGGCGACGAATACTTTGTGGCAAACACTCCAACACTGAGTCCAGTGAACCCCCGCAATGGTGTAAATCAATGGACACAAGCGATGATAATTGTGGCAACAATTGCATAGTATTGTCCATCTTATCGTTTCTGAGAGTCAAGTGTGACAATCGAGGCAACAATCGCTTCAACTCTTCATTTAGCGCTTCCACTGATGTCTCGCTCTTAATGCTTAACAAATGCAAACTCTTTAGTTGCGGACATTGGGTGACAATCAGAGCGATTGTCTTCTCGTCAATCCAAGCGTTTCCCAAAGACAAAGACGTAATGTTTGGGCACTTCTTGAGTATTAATCCAAATGTGTCCACATTTTTGATCAAATCATTGCTATTATAACTCAAAATAGTGTTTCCAATCATTTTTTTGCTGCGAATGGCATCAGTTATGTCTCCATCGCTGGACACAAGTTTCCCGAATATGTATTCATACCAACGATCTCTAACCATTAATGCATTCTTCCTCTTCAGAGCACTTCCCACACAATCCATGAATTGATTGCAAACGGACTCCACTTTCAGCAGTGATTTCACCGAAAGCTCATTGAATATCAATCCCAAGACGTCGTCATTCATGACATGACTTCTTCGCGAACACGTGTCTCGTTTGGCGAACGCATAACTCTTACCACTCCTTGTCTTCAATCGCTTCCCGTCTGAAGACATTTCAACACAAAAGTGAAAAACGTTTGAAAACTTTTGTATCAAAAGTACAGCAAAAGTGAGTTTTTATGACAGCTTTTGAAACATTCGCTCAAAAATTGTGTCACGTTTTCAACAATTCATTCAATAATTCAATGAATTTTAATTCAATACAAAATCTATTGAAAAATTTTGTTTATAACTAAAAACATAATTATTTTTCACTATTAGTCTAAACATTAATAATAATTATTAATTATGTGTAGAATTAAAATCCAATTAAATTAAATACCGGATATTTCTTCAAACAATTCATTCAATAACTGATTGAGACTTGAATTCAAGATTTATAAAACAATTTACACAAAAAATAATTATAAATAAAATCCAAATAATTTATTAATCAAATTATAAAACAGAAAAATACAATTAAAATTCTCTCTCTCTCTCTCTCTCTCTCTCTCTCTCGGTGTCTGACCCGTTGATTGAGATGTATTTGTATATAAAGACTATTGTATAAGATATTACGAAAACACAGATAATAATAAACAATATGAAAACTAATCATTAAATCACTGAATAAAGTATAAAATAAATTATAAATAGTTGTATACAAAAAACCAAATGATTTATTTGTAAATCAATTTAATTAATAGTTCATTAGTTAAACAAATTATATATTAATTAATTAAAGTAATATTCAATTTTAAAAATATACAATTAAATAAAACAGTATTAAAATTAATCAAAACAATTATTTGGCACTATTGTCAGCACCGGTAGCTTTACGTCTGGGTTTCGCAACATTGAGCGCATCGCAAATCTGATCCCTAATGGGTCTCAAGACGTCCAAACTCTGAGACCAATCGGTTTGTGTCAACAAATCCAGAGCCTCTTCGGGAGAGTCATCGGCGGTCAATAGGGAAACGTAGGTCTGGTTAGCCGTATGCGTGCGTATGCGGGGAAACGCGTGACACAGAAGTATCACTAAATAAGACATCGATTGGCGGTAATCGTCGGTCTGAACGCCGGCGCAGAACACGTCGACGGCGCCGATCAGCCGCTGACAGTCACGCGTTCGGCCGCCCGCTGTCCACGTCTGGGCCAACACCCGGTGCCTGAAGTCCGGATCAGTTCGACACGAAGTCAATAGAAAGTGCGAACAATGGATGCAATGGAGGGACAGGTTGTCGGCGCTCTGGTCGGCCTTTTCGTACAGATCCAGGAAAGCGTTGAATACCCGGCCGTCCATTGATTTGATCTCTTGTTTGAGTAGATTTCGGACATAAGTTTCGGTCGGATTCGAGACATTCTTCGCTAAACCCTTCCACACGTTATGCGTAAACAACGGGACGTCTAATAGGCGTACGAATGGCCGCCAGTGGTCGGCCTTCTCGTCGCCGGTGCTCTCAAACAGCGTTTCCATAAATTGTCTGTCGATTTGAGCCAATTGTCGGCCGAAGACTATCTCTTTAAACACATTGAAGGCTTTGTGTCTCTCTTTTTGCCAAACGCTTACGCATTGAGTTGTCATCAGTTTTAAGACATCAATCACTTGGCCATCAGTGGCCTCATTGATGAACGCAAGGGAGGCGTCGACGGCGGCCAACCGGACAGTACCGCCGACATCGCCTCTCGAGTCCTTCGTCCGGTCGTCTAATGCCAGACAAAGACAGTCAACGATCTGTTGTCTCCTATTGTCGTCTATGGGACGGAATTTCAACGACAACTCAACTAAAGTGATCACTTCTGAAGCCCGGGAACCGCACAACTCGTCGCCGGATCTGATGTGCGCTAATAGTATCTCAAAGCATGTGTTATAGTACTGGACATCCAGTAATTCCAAAGACATTGTCTGCAAACACATCGACGAACCAATTCTGGGGCTCTCTTTGCTTGAGTTCAAGTGAATCAACAGCTGATCCAATACTTTAGTCTTAAGTTCGTGTCGATTGCGTAAATATTGATAGCAAAACACTGGAAGCGCTACCACAGCGTCGCCGCGAGTCTTCTGGTCTTCGCTAACAATCGCATTACAGATGATGTCAATCCAGACGTCAATCACTTTGGATTCGCTACTGATTGACAGCGAAACCGATGAACACTTCTCTATCAATACACTCAACGCCTGTTTCATAAACTCTCCGCCGATTCCTCTCAAGAGTTTCTTCTCATTTAAAGTCACAGCAATTGATTCCATTTGTTCTCTCAATTCTGGACTGATTTTGTCGCCAACACTGCCAATGATGTGACCGATCGCTAGTATAGAGCCGTGTCTTGAGTTCAAATCCATTGATAAGCTCTTCGCGAGTAATTGTGGTAAATAGGGATTCATATCGATAACAGTGGACAGCAATCCCAGCGATTGCGCCACTAATTCGCGCACATCTCTGTCCCAGTGCTGGCATTTGTCGACCAGATGTTGGACCAGACAATCGCCAAACTCTGGCTTTTGTGCCAATTTTAAAGCGATATCTAAATAACAGTGACTTCTTGTGGCCAACGCGTGAAAGTCTGTCAGAAGCAACACTTCCAGTCCGTGTGGAAACACTTGCGTTCGGCCGACAAACTCTTGAATGGCCGCCGAAGCGGCTCTTCGGCAGTTCACCTGACGGTCAAAACATACGACACATACGAGAGTCGGCGCCAATCGGTGAACAAACTGTTGAATCACTTGCGAGTCGTACGCACGCGAGAGAGACCAACACACATAACACGCGGCGTCTCTTACGTTGGATCCGATGGAAAACGTGCCTTAAATGAAGATAATTGTCAATCAAATCGTGACAACACTTTCGCTGTTATCGTTAATACCTTTCAATTCGTCAAAAAGCAACGCTTTCTGTACGACATCTACCACTTGTGGCAACTGATCCGTCAGTATAAGGCCTCTGCGGGTGAGTTCGGCCAACGCTAGGCAACAGCCGTGCGATGAAGAGTCCGAGTCTTTCCATTCGCACAGCTGTAGGACACTATCGACCACTTCGGCGGCCATTTCTTTGGGCAATCGGTTCGTGAGTCGCGCCAAATACTTAGCCGAAGACCAGCGGACTATTGTGTTCTCGTGGTGTAAGGCATTCAACAGGGAGTCTATTATCACTTCCAACTGTTCCGGTATATCACTGTAATCGCAGTCGTCCTCGAGATCTTCGACAGTCTGTTAATTGTCCAAAAAATGTCATAAAAAAGTTGTAAATAAAACATAAATTGATTAAAAAAATACATTTTCATGCGTCGACTGAATGGCGGCCGGCTTTTGGTCCGCCATCTGAAGCGATATGTTTTGAGACAACTGACGTCTGCCGCGTCTGTACCGCCATTTGGCGATTCGCGGTCTCATCAAAGACAGCGCCGATCGGCCGATAAGTTTAACCTTCCATTTGGTCATCAGTTCGCGACCCGTTGTGTCCATTTTGGCGCTCACTTCGATCACCCGTTCGGCGAACGGACTGATGTTCTGACGGTCGGCCACTTTCAACAGTACGGCCACAGCCATCACGTGACCAAAACTCTTGTCTAAAACGGGTAACGATTCACTCATAAAACGCTCCAACAATTGGTCCACAATATCGGGTCGCGCGAAGAAATGGGCGGCCAATACGGCGGCCGAATCCCTGCTCTTATCGGTCGCTTTCAGATACCGATCGATCAGCGCATAGATCCGCTCCACTAATGTCTTCTGAGCGCTCGTTGTCTCGGCTTTTGAGTCAAACTTTTTCAAATTAAACGGCGTTTTGACGGCCATCGAGAGCCACAACAGTAGCATCGCTCGCGTCGGCCACGACTTGGTGTCTTCGGGCGTCTGGCGTTCGCACCACTCGACCAGTTTGGATAGCCATAAGACTTCTGTCGGCAAATACCGGCGCACAGACTTCGGGCCAATACAGGCCACCAAACGGTGCATTAGTGTGAAGGCGGCCGTAAACCTCTGGCCATCGACCGCAGCACTGGTCGACACACTCTCGATGATGGCGTCCAAGAAGTGTTTCACATGAGACTCAATGAGTTTCGGGTTTGTCTGCCATTTGCTGATGAGATAATCAAATCGCTCGCAAATCCTCTCCACTTTGTTATCATCACCACTGCTTTGATTGTCACCGATTGTGGACAACTCGCCGATCAATGCCATACATTGGATGCTGTCTTCAGCGAAGGTGTCCAACGAGTAGATCAGCTCTATTTGTGGTGAAAAACAATGTCTTAATTAGATCTCAAAAGTGATCATCAAATGAGTGCCACAAAACACTTACCGTTGGAGTCTTCGGGGTCTTCATCGCCGGTAACGCCACTCTTGAACAGCGGTTCCGACATTTGTCTTCAATTTGCGGGCAATTGACCACAAAATTGACTCTTAATTACAATTAAATCAATTGATTGTCAAAACATGTGTTCAAAAGTTTGTGTCAAACAAACAACACCTCAAACAAGACATGCGCTGAGAAATACACGTTAACTAATGCTTGAGATTTGGGACTATTTTATACTAAACTGAAAGCATTGATAATGTATTGCATTGTTTGCCATAAAAGGGTCCAAATGTTTGTATCAGTTGTTATGACAACACATTTATGAACACATATAATGCAATACACGTGTAATGAGTTGTCAATAAACACAGCGATTGTCACCAAAGAAAAAGTCTTAAT